CGACCTGAAACGTCAGCTTTCCTGCTCCTCTGATGCTGCTTGGCCTGTTGTGTTCATCCAACCCTACACCTTGTTATCTCTGATATAAATTGATGTTTTTTTTTTATAAAATTGATGTAATAATACATTATTATTTGTAGGAATATTGTTGAGAACCTTTAGGAGCTTAAAACCATAAGAAATATGAACAGAAGTAGAATGTTCAGCTCTTCAAGCCTGTTCCATCATTCAATAGGATCATGGCTGACCTGACATTCCTCATATTCATTTTTCTGCCCTTTCCTCATAACCCCTGATTCCCTATGATCAAGAATCTATGTATCTATGTCAGCTTTATATATACACAAGGTGTCTGCACCCACAGCTTCTATGGCAAAGCTCTCGACCTTATAGGAGAAGAAATTCCACCTCATCTCAGTCTTAAATTGGTACCCCTTTATTCTGAGACTGGGCCCTCTGGTTGTAGACTTCCCATGAAGGGAAACATCCACTCAGCATTTACCCTGTCAAGTCCCTTAAGAATGCTATGTGTCTCACTGAGATCACACCTCATTCTTCTAAACTCCAATGAGTAGAGTCCCAACCTGTTTAACCTTTGCTCATAGGATAATCCCTTCACACAAGAGACGAAAACATGGCTAGTGCAAACCATCAACATTTATTGCCTATAACCATATACATAAGATGGCCGACCCAGTATTTTCTGTTGTCAGGACCCTTGTGATGTAACATCATCATGCCTTGCCCATATGTTTATGCACATGCTATTGGTCGGGTATTGGTACAGTTAAACCTTTACTCTTCATCTCCCTTTAAGTTTGTTCTTTGCACAAACTGAACCCCAATTTCTTCATATTTTCCACAGATTCACAGAGTCAGAGGCTTAGAACACAGAAAATGGCCCTTTGGATCATTGAGTCTGCGCTAGTCCAAAACAGCCAAACTATTCTAATCTCATTTTCTAGCACTTGGCCCACAGCCTTAATATCTCAATCGTACATCTAAATACTCCTCTGCACCCTCTCTAGTACTATCACATCCCTATTACAATGTGGATGCCAGAACTACACACGATACTCGACTTGGGGCCTAACTATTTTGTACACAGCTCCAGTATACCTCACTGCTCTCTACACCTCGGCTAATAAAGGCAAGGATCCCATATGTCTGTTCCCATGTATCTGCTGCCTTTGTCCCTCTAGATGGTAGAGATCTTGGGTTTGCAAAGGATCTTGCAAAGGTTTCTGCATTGCATCTTGTAGATGGTACACACTGCTGCTATTGAGTGTTGGTGGAGGAGGGAGTGGATGTTTGTAAATGTAATGTCAGTCAAATGGCCTGCTTTGCCTGAATGATGTCAAGCTTTTTGAGCGTTGTTCGAGCTGTAGCCATTCAGGCAGTTTATTTTTCAAGCAGCATAAGCTAGTAGCATTTGGTCAGCAGCCAGTTGTGCCATCTCCTGTGACTTCCGATGAGCACAAGAGTGGGTAGCTATTGCAATTAACTCCTTAAAATCTGACACTTTTAAAGTTGGAGAACCACTGCAATAGCATTTTCCATCATATTTCCCACTGCTGCTACCTTCAATGCACTTAATGTATGCTCACAAGTGACAGATGCGCAGTACCTTCTAAGACCGGCAGGGGGCTCATTAGAATGCTGCACGCCAAATTCATGCCTAGTTATCTTAATAAAAACACAGAAAGGAGCCAACTTGAAAATTTCTACTAGTGTTCAACCATACCAGCCTATTTCATCCATAAGCATCTGAGCAGACTCACATTTTACTATCAGACCCTTCCATTTATTGCATCACCTCCCCTCTCACAATTGTCGACTCGGTTTCTTGTCATTGCTGCTCATTTTGCCTGATGCAGGGAAATCCATTGGAGTCAGTCAGTTTGGGACATGATGGAAGTGCTGGTCCACTGCCATGACAATGTGGGTTTTTGAGAGCTATGAGTTACTTGTATCACTTCTTATTTTCTGAATCAATACCATTTCTTGTACGTTAGTTTATGCAGAACAAACTGGCATTATCATCACTACAACATACATGGGAGAACGTCACAGATGATGGAGACATTCAGAACTTCTCAAAAATTGAGAGACCAATGTGGCAAATATTTAACTACTCTTTCTTTTTTTCTGTACCCATCGGGATAAAATCATGATACCATGTGAGACATGTGGTAAAATTGCTGATGAACCACTTTTAGACGGCACAGTTTAATTGCTGCACATTTTGATATCACACAGAAATGAAGTGCTGTTGGGTGAAAGGAGTTTGGTAAGTTTTCCAGCTGCAAATCTGAATAAACCAGAGTAAAAGATCAGTCTTGCTTCTACAAAGAAAAGTACTTTTTATTCTTCCAAACATGATTCCTCTCACCCATCATCAACCAAATTTGACAAAAATGGTAATTTCTACAAACTGTTGTCACACTGATGATGCAGTCCCAACTCCGGTGGGGCCTGGTGCCAGGCAACAGAGCAGGAACAGAGGCAGTAAAAATGCAAGGCTTGGCCTTCCTAAATATATATCAGCTTGTTATTCCAGGCCCTGGGACACATGGGAATGCCTTAGAAATGCTATTATTATTACAGGGCAGTGCCTCGACCTGCAGGATATCACCTCTTTTCCTCTCCATTACAATTTGGAACTTTGCAATGCCCCAGCTCAAAGGAGGGCAGTCAGGGTCCAAAGGGTTTAAATTTGACAGCAGGTGAAGGAATAAAATTAAGTTCTGAGTGGTCGTGCTACATTTCAGGTTGATGAAAGGTGTTGCAAAGTATTGGTTCACAAAAGTATTGTTTTGAAATGCATTTTTTCTTCCAACATGATAAACTCTTAAAAATAATGTGGCTTTGATTTGAAAACTACCACATTTGCACATGGATTTAATGTATCTATGTGAAATTCATTCCTCTTCTTTTCAGGAAGAGGTTAGGATGTCGAAACAAACAGATTAATGACTGCTCAAAAAATGCAGAAGAAAAGCAACTTGCAGTATTACTGAGGTGGTTTGTTATGACAATCTGGAAACATCCATTAAAGATACATAAAAGACCAGAGAAAGACATGGAAAATTCTTCATCTTAAGGTAATTTTTCTTTACCAGCTCTGTATTCATTTGCAGTATGTGCATTACACATTGTGCATTTCTCTAAATATTTCCTACCTTTCCCCTGATTTCAAAGCTTCAGGATCTGAACAAACATTTTGATGTTGAAAGTTTGGACTCAGAAACACATTTACATCTTCAGATGCCTTCACTGGAACATCCTGAACAACTGTAGATGAGAAATAAATAGTAATTCATAACAGCGAATTTCTTATATCAGTCATTATGTCCAGAGGATGTACTCTTCTATGCATATTTTCTAAAGGTCTAAAAAAAGGAAAGCAATAATAAAATTGATTTTTAGCATTATGATATAGATTCCAAACCACAAAAGCCTGTACCTTTAAGACAGTTATTCCAGATCATGTGATGTTTGGATATAAAGGTATCTGTCACCTTCAATCAAATGTAATGAGGTAAGTGTAGCGTCTTCAGTCAGCTATGTGTATGTAATTTACAGTAGCATCAGTAAGCACAGAACCCAAAAGATATGTATAATTCTGTGACATTGCAGCCATGTAAACAGACATACTTCATGGCATCTGCTTCTGCCAGTACCTTAATCTGTACAGTAGGTTTTGGACTAATACACATAAAACCCCAAAGTACATCAGAATCAAGATCAAGTGATTAGGCAATGAAAAGAACACTGTTCAGTTGCTTGTGCATAATTTCCCATTTGAATTTGGGAAAGCGCAAATAATTTAATGAAGATACCTCAGGCTGACTGAATATCTGTGGCAAAGCATGAGTTAATAGCTTTATGTAGGGAAAAAAAAATACATAAACTAAAACTTCTCAAGGAAGACTTACCTGGTATCTTCTTTTTTCTGTTAAATGAATTCTTGAGGATGTCTATGCCACTGGAAAGGTCTCCATAGCGCTTTGCTTTAACTTCAGCAAACCATTCACCGGTCATCACCTTCAACTTTTTCATATCAAAGCTGTTTCTCTTCAGTTTTCTGTGGGGAAAGAAATGTATCTTTTTAAAGAAATGTGTTTTATTTCTGTACCATTCTACTTAAGGATTTTGTAACAACCGAAGAAAAACAGAAAATGCCGAAAACCTGCTGCAGGTCAGCATGCCTGTCTATGACCTTTCATCCTAACTGGGAAAAGTTATAAATGTCATTGATTTTCAGACAGTGATTGGGAGGGGGTGGGGGAGAAAAAGTTAACGAGAGAGAAGTTCTGTAATCGGGTGAAGCTCAAGAGAACTTAAATGACAATGTTTCATAGTGTAAGATCAAGGGAGTGGTCACATGGCAAAAGTAAAGGAACAAATATGTATCGAGAGAAGGTGTGAAAGGCATGATCATGTAGAGTTCCATTTTGAAGGCAAAGGAAGAGAGGAGACAAGAGATAAACCAGGTAGTGGTAAAAAAGTTAAAAAAAAGAAACAAAATGGGGCTAGAAGGTTACAGTCTGAAATTGTTAAGCTCAGTGTTAACTCCAGAAGGCTTTAAGGTGCTCTCTTGAAAGATCTGATGCTTCTCCTCAAGCCACATTAACATTCTTTGGAACACTGCAAGAGATAAAGTTGGAGTGAGGTCAAAAATTAAAATTACAAGGGACTGGAGAATTAAAATCTCACTGCAGTCTGAGCCACTGTAGAGCAGATAAACATAATCAGCTAATATAATTTGCTAACTATATATAGTAGTTTATAGAATGTGGGCATCATTGATGAGGTCAGCATTAATTGCTCACCTCTAATTGTTCTTGAGAAGGTAGAGGTGAGTTACTTTTCTATAATTGCTGCAGTCTATGGTGACTAGACATGTAAATAAACAACAGTGCACCAAGAAAGGGAGTTCCAAGATTTTTACCTAGCAATGTTGGCAACATAGTTCCAAGTCTTGATGCGGTTTGGGGTGGAGGGAAACTCGCAGGTGAAGGTGTTGCCATCTATCCAGTGGTAACGGCATCAAGGCTTGATATCTGTGTATCCATCTCGTCCTCAGAGGTTTCTTTGACGCTAGGCGAATCGGGAGACCCCATGGGTTCTGACAGCCTTGCCAGATGTTCTCAAGGGGCCAGGAATGTTTTGCTCCTGCCCCTGTTTGTGTGGGATTGTACGTGCTTGTTCAGAACTACTTCTCCTACCCCAATATGTATGTCACGGGACCTCACCACATGTCGATCATGCCTGGTACCCGTGCAGGGCCATTCCTGCGGTTTTGACACCAAAATCTATCCCCTGAAGCAAACTGCCGCTCTCATATAGAAGAGTCATGTGTCCAGCATTAGTGTTCTTAAATCAACGCCCTTTCCAGGTCCAGGAGATCAGATTTCACCTGGTATAGAGTCTTCTCCTCATTAGCAACTCTGTTGCAGCTGTCCCTGTAGTTGTGAGGGGTGGTCACCATTTTTCTTCCATCTTTGTCCTTCTAGGTGGTAAAGATTTGCAGGGTTGGAAGGTGATACGAAACAACCCTTGATGAGTTGCGGCACTGCATCTTGTGCATGGTACATAGCTCCGTTATTGTATATCAGCAATGGAGATCGTGAAAGTTTAAGGATAAGGTGCCAATCAAGTTCCTGCTTTATCCTATACAGTGTCAAAAGTCTTTTGTGTTGTATTCGTCCAAGCAAGTGGAGATTATTTCATCACACTCCAAAATTGTGCCATGTAGATAGTGGACATGATCGGTGGAGCCTCAGGCTTGTTCTTATAGCCACAGTATTTCTATTTCTGGTTAGTTCAGTTTACAGTCATCATTAATCCCCAGCGATGGTAATATAATTGATTATCAAGAGGAGATGAATAGATTCTCTTTTATTGGAGATGATCATTATCTGGCATTTAAGTGGCAAGTAAAATTTGTGCCATACATTGTGCCAAGCCTGGATATAGTCCTAATCTCTTTGCATATGGACATGGACCACTTCAGGATCTGTGTTGTGGCAAAGGTGATGGTAATTATGCAACCATCAGTGAAGATCTCCACTTCTGACTGTATAATGGAGGGAAGATCATTGATGAAGTAACTGAAGATGGTTAGTTCTAGTTCACTATGCTGAGGAATTCCTGCAGTGATGTCCTTGAGCTGAGCTGATTGTATTTTAAACTCACAATCACCTTCATTTGAGTTTGTTATGATTCTAACCAGTGGAAGTATGTCCCTGATTCTCATTCACTCCAGTTTTGGTCAGCCTCCTTGATACCATACTCTGTCAAAATATCACCTTGAGGTCAAGAACACCTACCCTCTAGAGTTCATTATGTTTTTACAAAGGCTATAATGATGTTAGGAACTGAGTGACCCTGATGGAACCCAAATTCAGGTTATTGCTGAGTAAACGTTGCCCTCATCATTTTACTGATGATTGAAAACAGCCTGATGAGGCGGTAACTGGCTCAGATGGGATTTATTTTGCTTTTCGTGTGTAGGACATATGGACAATTTTCCACTTTGCCAGGTAGATTGCAATGCTGTTGCTGTACAGGAACATCTTGGTTAGGGGAACATAAATCTGTAGAACAATTCTTCAATATTATTACTGGAATGATGTCAGGGTCCTTAACTTTTACAGTATGTAGTGTCTTTGAGGGTTTCTTGAAATCACGTGGAGTGATTCATTTGGCTGAAAATTGGCATCGGTGATAATGGAGATCAGTCATCCAGTCAGCATTTGTGGCTAACGACTGTTGTAAAATGTTTCAGCCTTGCCTTTTGCACTGATGTGCTGAGATCACTGAAGCTGAGGATACTTGTTGATTGTTAATTGTCCATGACCTGTTGCAACTGGACATAGCAGGACTGCAATACTTGGATCTTAAAGCCCATGGATCACATCAAGGCACTGCAGTCCTGCCACAGTCTCTGCCATCAGAGTGCCACCCAAAGAAATTTCAGTTTTGACAACAGTTGACTGCAGGCACCAGCGGAGGGTGAATGGGGATGTCATTCTCGATGCCTGATCCAGGGATCTGAATTGAGAAGGACACAAGGCACTGAAAGTCACACACAGCTCTGCCTCAAGCCCCTGGATCTCGAGCGCTAATGAATAGGTGCCAGCTTCTGATTGGCTGACAGCTCTCAGTAAGTGGAATTTCTGTTACTGGGATCTTAAATCGTGAGCAAGACCCAACAGTAGTTCTCCACCAGTTCTCCAACCAGTGAGTGGGACCTTTCAACCCAATAGAATTCCAGCCATTAAATCAGTCTCACTCTCCGTTAATACTATGAGACGTGCTTTGCTTTTCTCCAGCATTGTTGCTTTTTCAATTGTGACAGCAAAATATCCTTCAAATGTCTGCAGCATGTTAAATGAAAGGAGATCGGGCCTCTTTAAATAGTCAGAACTGTGTACTTCCTATCTGCACTAACTATGCCTTTGAATGGGTTGTGGCAGAAGTATTGGTAACGGGTTTACAGAAATGTGGCATTCAATTTTGAACAACTTCATAGGGTTTTCACTTGAGTATTATTAGGCCCTCAGGTTTTCAGGCAAGCACATCGTGTTGGCCAAAATTGAGGCACACCTTGAATCTCAACCATCTGAACATACCGTGGCATTGGAGAGTGTTTATCTGCTCTGATTTATCTTAAAGTAATTGTTACTGGGAATCTTCAGACAGTGAATGTTTGAAATTACACTTGTGTGGGGAAGAAATTATTCAGGCTCGCACTGGCACATCATAGATCCGGCAAGTGTTTCAGTAGGTCCCAGGTATTTTGTTTCTGGCAGAGGTGTGAGAGAGTGGTTTCGAAATACTTTTGGAGTCAAAAAACAGGATTTAATGCAAGGAAAAGGATCACAAGTGATACCTTCTATCTGAAAGAAGTCATTCTAATTAAAATTTTACACAATTTCCCAGATCTTCACCTTTCAGGTTGAAGCTTCTGTTTAAGAGTTGGAGAATTTGTACTTTTTTTAAAAAATGTGGTCTTTTATCTATTGGGTTAGATGTATGACACCTCCTAGAATGAAGTAATGAAATGTCATCGGCACATTGAACAACTTTTCTTTAGCTATCTGTGTGTGTAGAAAAGGCCTGACATGTGGATATCCCAATGGAGAGATGTTAAATTGCCATTTACAAGCTTGAAAAGGTGCCCAGTTAGCATGCGATGTGAGGGGAATATACCAGCTGACCAGAAATAAGTTTTTTGTGTAGGATCTTTCAAAGATTATTCAGATGTTATTTTTTGATGGTACTGTCACTGTTTCACAACTGAACCATAAATCAGGTAGTGGCATCTACTGGCACCTATGTAACCACAACCCAATAACATTATTTTCTGAAGAGCAGAATTCAGAGACAGGCAAACAGCCATAACACTTCTATTGCATTCAATCATGAACTTAATTCAAAAATTCCTGAAGTGCTTTCACACGTTGATAAGGCTGCTTTAAATATATTTCAATAAACATTCACTTAAGCAACATAATTAGGTATGAATCTCCTTTCTTATTTTAGTAAGCCTGTGGCTAGGCAGAATATTAATGACTAACAATCAAAATTGCTCATAAAGATCATTGTTAAATGTCTCCAAATACCATTGGAATAGCACATCTTTCATTCTTGATTGGTATTTAACGAGCAGTCAATTTAATAACCGTTCCCACATATATTGCAGAACCCTGCCCCAGGTTTTAAAATGGAATTCTTCAAATGACTGGTAGACATTGTTTTACTCTGCTAGTTACAGCAGAATATGATCATTTGCATTTAACATTTTACATATTTCATTGAACTGCATCGGAAGTTAGCGTTACTGTGCACACCTCATCATCTGACAGATTTTCAAAAATACTAGATTGGAATCAGAAAGAAGAACTGCAAAATATTATCCTTTATTTTGGAATTGATTATTGAATTAGAAGGTGAGTGTGATTTTTCTACCAACTGCATTCCAGTGCAGTTATGAAAAGTAAAATTCCTTTGATTAAAGAGATTCCACCCTCCAAATTTTAAACAAGTTCTTTACGATAAAGTTCAACTGCTTGCAAG